GCTAGGGCTTCTGCGCGCTAGGGCTTTGCCGGAAAAGGAAAGAGCCGAGGAGGACTTAATGTGATCGCCGGCGAAGCTAGGGGTTTTCTTTGATTTTGTAGGGTTTTAGCTTAGGGTTAGAGAACAACTCGTGCTGATAATGTGTTATAAGCTAATGAGAGAATAAAATAATTGGTGTTGTATATTACTCATAACATAGGATTCCTTATATAGAGAATTATATGGGAGATAAATAGAAAGTACAAACCCAATACAAATATGGAAAATGCTAAGTCTAAACCGTCATATAGATTACACGGATTGGGCCTAGATAATATGGTTATGCCCCATCCACTAATTGCGCCATAACATACTCTATCCGCTACTTTTATAGTTATAAATCTGTTTAGGTTTGCACATTTTGAGTCTGCCGTATCTTATATCATTCTATATAAGTCTAGGGACTCCTATCTTGAGGCAAATAATTGGTTTATCTAAGCTTGGAGTCCAGCAATGTTTTGGATTTCATGTTTGATTAGGCCGGCTCTGACCAAGACTTTCTGCATCCCTTTGTATGAATATTTTCTTTATTATGGTAGAATCTTCAGGTTGACCTTTGGCCCAAAGGTTTGCTTCTTTTTTCTCTTAACTAATCGGAAAAATATGAATTGAGAAGAGTTGTGAATCCAATTTTTGTGTTTGTTTTTTTTTTTATATTGTATAATTGTTCTTGATCGTCTAGGATCTTTCTATTGCTAAGCATATACTGAAGAACAACGCTAAAACTTACTCCAAAGTAAAGAAACTAGAACTAACAATTTAGACATAGAATGGTTTGCTTGTGTAGATGCTAAATAGTTAGTTTTGCTGGTTTCTTTAGTTTGGGGTAAGCTTTAGCGTTGTCCTTCAGTATATGCTTAACAATAGAAGGATCCGAGAGGATCAAGAACGACTATATAATATAAAAAAAGACAACACAAAAATGATTAGATTCACAACTCTCCTCAACCCATACTTTTCTCATTAGTTAAGAGAAGAGAAAAACAGAAGCAAACTTTTGGGACAAAGGTCAATCTGAAGACTCCACCATAAGTATATACAAAGGGATGCAGAAAGTCTTGGTCGGAGCCTGTCTAATCAAACATGAAATCCAGAACATTGCTGACTAATTATTTACTGTAGATAGGAAGCTTTTAAAAACAACTAGATCTTTTTGCCGCGCGGCTAGTCTCTTATTCAAAAGATAACGATTGACAAAATCATTGTAATTAATGCAAGTCATAAGTAATACTAATAATGACCAATTTTTTTTAAATATAGATTTTGTAGGTTTTTTAAACAAAACTCTCATTTTAATTTTGGTATAAATAACTTACATAATATTTACTGTAATATATATTTTAATCGGTAGTTTTATATTTTTTATCTTCAAAATTTTGGTAGAAAGTAATCACTATCAAAATCTGAAAATTAAGTATATAAAATGAATTGACTTTTGTTTAAATTTAAAATGATATTATATAAATTTAAGATTGTATATAATTTGTTGTTAGGAATAATGTTTATTTATTCTATTTATTTATGAATTTGATGATATTAATTTATCTTTTCCATCAATGTTTTGAATACCAAACCGAACATTTACTTGACATTGCAGTTAGGTCAATAGTCACACCGGTCCAACTGAATTATAAATTTAATTTAATTTTAAGTTAAGTATCTTTATATATGTATAACTTCAAAATTATTTTATAAGACTTTTTTACCATTGTTTGAAGCTAAAATGATATTGAAATAAACTTCAAAATAATATAAATATATAATGAAAACTAATTTATTTGAATAGATATTAAAAACAATACAGGTTTATAGGAAAGTATTTTAAAAATTTGCATTTTTTAACTTGAATTTGACAAAAATTAGGGTTTAATATCAAATTGGACCATTGGTTTTAGCGAGTGACCGGTTCTTAAATCGAATTTTTTGATTTTTAGCAGAGCTCAAAATTGTTTAGAAGAGAAAGTCATGATTCAACCAGGCGAATCCAGTTTTTAAAACACTTCTTGTCACATAGCATCGTTTTTTAATAACAAACAACAAAATCATTTTACGCTTTTAATAACAAACAACAAAATCATTTTAAGAGACATATTTTTGTTATGAACTTATGTCAACAACCAGATACATATTTAACTGAAGTTGTTATTTATTGTTAATCATTTAGAAAATAATAATTGCCATCTATTTTTTTTTGTTTTTCAAGTTTCTAAAGATTATGCAATATGAACCAAATTGTATGCATGGAATAGATCAAAATATTACATAAATTTGTATGTCATTGTTATACAGCTTTGTATGGCTACATGTATTAAGTTGCGTACCACATAGATATCGCAAGCCAAAATGTTGACATTGGTTTTCAAATTATGAATCTGTTTTTATTCACTGAAAAAAATTTCAGAGCACAAAAGGTTAGACTGTCCTGCTATAGGTCAAAGATGTAAACGACGTTGTTGGAGGCTGTTGTATAACCTCTGAGTCGTCTGCATCCCTTGCCCATCCCAATCTCTCCTCTGCTTCTCCTCCTTCACCGTCATCACTCTTGAGCAACTCCTCAAGCCGTTTGCACAACACCTACTTAAACCTCCCACAGCTAGAGCTGCGCTTCTTAAACGTCGTAGTATCATTGGTTACAACATAATTATACATTTAAGAAAAGATAGTCATTTGAAATTGAGAAAATAAATTTTTTATTTTATTTTAAAAAAATGAGAACACTACGTTTTCTATTTTGCTATGTCATCAAAAGCCATCATAGATACTCCTTCTACAGATACGATAGCAATGTTAGAATGATATTATTAACTTAACTATAGCACTACATTTTTGTTATAAATTGATTCGATTTACATTTTCGTGCAATCCTTTAGTTATTATTTGAGAAGTGATTTTGGCACTTGTCATCACCACACTGAAAAAGATAACATGATATACTAATAAATATAATATGACATGGGTTAATGTTAATTATGACATGAACATTTACATTAATTATTGTTTTATATTTTTGTTAAGTTTCTAAAATATAGTAATAACTCATATACCATCACTGATATAACAATAAATAATATAATAGTAAAATAAAATAGAATAACATTTTACATTTTTTTCAAAATATTCTTAAATTTGTTTTTATATTTATAATTCTTAGTACTAAAACAAACTGCAAAAAATTATACAATTCTAAAAAAAATATAATTTTCTAATCACATTACTGTGAGTTTCTTTTAAATATCTACAAATTGTAGAAATATTATTTAGTTTTAAATTTTGATATTATATACCTAACAAAATAATAATGTATGTAGAATTTTTAATATATTTTAATCAAAAGCAACAGATATAAATATTTCTTAGATTATAGTTTTAAATATATACATATATATTTTTAATGTAAATTTATAAAATTATATTTTATCTTAATTTTTATATAATTAAATTAAAATATTGTAAGGAAATAATAAAGCCTAAAAATGAACAAACATTTACTTATAAATATGATTTAAAGTTTCAAAACTTTTATTCATGCACTTGGTGCAAGAAAACACCTAGTGATAGATATTTCTACAACAAACCAAAATCATTATAATTAAAAATAGGGTTTTTAGTAATAAAACCCCTCAACTAAAGATGTATCGTAAAAAAAACCCTCAACTAAAGATTTAGTGAAATAAAACCTCAACTTTAGTTATGTTAATGTTTGTCACCCTCCGTCACGGAATTTTAGACTGAGGGTCGCATACGTTAACAGAACTAAAGTTGATGGTTTATTTCACTAAATCTTTAGTTGGAGATTTTTGTTACGATCCATCTTTAGTTGAGGGGTTTTATTACTAAATGAGGTTAAATATTTTAAAATCTTTATTATCATTTATTCATTATTTAAGAATCTTAAAATTGATTTATAAACATTGCAAATAATTTATATTTTTTTATATATTACTTTATCAATTTTATAACCTATTTATAAAGTTTTCTCATTCCATACTTTTTATAAATTATTATTAAATTTTAATGATGATTTATAAGATTAAAGATGTGATTATTCGTCATACTATAAAAACATGAAGTAAATAAATAAAACAAGAAAAGCTTATTGATTAATATGGTAGGAGTATAACATACTAGTTCATAAATTAAAAAGAAGAAAAATAATCCTAAATTATTTCTTCTGAAACAGAAAAAAGTACGAATCAAATTGAAATTGTTTAAAGAGGAGAAAAAAACCCTTGCCATATTTTAAATAACAATGTTGAATTTCTAAATTAAATAAATATCCTCAACACTGCCTACAACTTTATATAACTTAGAAATCTTAATTATTTGATATTTGATAGTATTAATATAAAAAGATCGTATGTGTTTCCTCTTTTATAAAGCTTTACCGCTTTACTTCGTAATATCAAAAAAAAATAATGTATTATTCCATCCTAAGAAATAGCAGACAAAAACTTATAAAATCATCGGTAAACCTTATTAATAGTTTATAAAAATAGAAAAATATTTACTAAGCTTTATAAATAGGTTAAAATTTGACAAAGTAATATATAAAAAATTATAAATTATTTTCAATGTTTATAAATCAATTGTAAGATTCTCAAATAATAAATAAATGATAACAAAGATTTTAAAATAATCAACCTCATTTAGTAATAAAACCTCTCAACTAAAGATGGATCGTAACAAAAACCCTCAACTAAAGATTTAGTGAAATAAATCATCAACTTTAGTTCTGTTAACATATGTCACCCTCCGTCTAAAATTCCGTGAAAGGTGACAAAAATTAACAAAACTAAAATTGAGGATTTATTTCACTAAATCTTTAGTTGAGAGTTTTTTTATGATTTATCTTTAGTTGAGAGGTTATATTACTAAAAACCCTTAAAAATACTAATAATCCAGCATTGATGGATCTTCTACTTATTTATGGAAACGACTACCAAAGTCGATATCATTTGCTTCTAGAAGTAGTTCTTTGTAATTGCTGCTTCTAACTCATTGAACTCCCAAGCATCGTTAGCAAAATATTCACCTGAACCCCAGAGAAGAAAACGGAGTGAATCAAGCTTATATAGAAAACCAGGTTGATAAAACACGTACCTATTGAATCTCGCCGGAGAGCAGTGAGCATAACTGCAGCAAAAAGGAATGATAGTTAGTAGAAGTTAAACTTTTAGGATCGGTTAGTTATCAAAGGTGGAACTTTTCTGGACCTTCCAAGAGCTTTAGCAAGATCTGCACAGAGAGATATTATGTATGTACCCTTGGAGCATACAACTTGGAAGATCAGATTTTGTCTGCAAAAAGAGAGACAATAGATCTTTAGTGAGACCTATACAGCAACACTGTTATCAAATTGCTTATGCACTGTACAGAAAATGTATTAAACCTGTCATCAAAACTGTGTTTGACGTCAAACTGGAAAATCGAGATACGTCTGGGAGAAAGCTCCATGGTTTCTCTTCTTCTTGCTTTGTCATACAGTTTCTCACCTCCAACCTAAACAGAAATAACAGTTTAAAAAGATAGTTAACAATGCAATCTACGATAAGGCCCTGTTTTAGACTTTAAAAGATTTAGAAAATGCTCACTTTTATAGCTGAGAACATTAGAGGAACTTGCCATATCTCGCCAAGAAAAGATGTCAAAGCTTTCTTAATGTCATCGTCTTTAATATGTTTCCAAGACTCTCGTTAAATCACCTGCAGCAATATCACATTGAGCAAACTCTAATGAGCCAGCACGAACTAATGAACAATGAAAGCAAGGAAAGGTGTCGTAGGAGTTACAGGAGAGTCAGCATCTAATGTTAAAGAACTCCGCTATAACCTTTGATCATCCCTTGGTATCTGCAGACACAAAAGGGCTTTTGCAGCTATTATTTCTATAGATCATCATATTGAGAAACATTTCTGGATTAAGGAAATCACAAACTTGTCAACCACCTTTGTGGCCTACCAACACAAACGATTAAGAGACCACTAGCCATAGGATCAAGTGTTCCAGCATGACCGACCTGAGATATACTAATTATCTAACCACCGAAAAAATACATTTTCCAAATCGTGGATCGAACAAGGGTTTAATAAGCAAGAACCTTTTTCACTTTGATTATTCGTCGTAGCTTACCAGAAACGGTAAAAGAAGTCCATTCTACAAATAACACCACCATAACCAAATCACATAACACATTACAAAACGCAAAACAAAGAGTGAGAGAGACAGAGACTAACCTTTGGGTTTGGTCACCAAAACTACAGTACCATTAGGACCATCCCATCTAGAAGGAAGCTCACCGTTTCTTGGCCTCGGCATCATCGGCGGATCGAACGGCATGAACGCTGGCTCCCGTCCCCACCGGTTTCGCCTTGGGAGTCTCTGAGCAGCTGAACTGAAACTCGAAGGGAGCGCAGGGGAGCTTGTAGGAGATGCCGGATTCGCCGATTAGGATCGTGCGGTCTAAGTCGGAGGAGATGAGTCCTTTTTACTGGTTTGTAGTAACGTGTTTGGCGGTGTGGGAGCTTTAGGGCTGGGTTTGATTGTGGCTCGAGTTGCAACGGATGGTGAGTACTTTGGTGTTGGAATCGGTGGTGGAGGACGAAGGATCGTAACCGTGAGTCTGATGGTGGAAGGGAGAAAGGTAGCCAAGAGAAAAGGTTGACATCCCCTGTATATTATTTATATTATTTGAGAATCATTTAAAAAGTTGTAACCTAAGTTTGTAAGAATTAAAAATAAGAATTAAAAATAACCTCAATCCTATGTGGTATAGCTCTTTGGCTTTTATTTCAAATCTCAAGGATTTTATAGCATGTGATATAATGTATAGTCTAAAAATTATATTCTCTAGCAATATAATATTTCATAGACTATAGTTGGTCGCATATATCAAATATTTATTGTTTCGCATGCTTTCCTTAAATAAAATTTACGGAATTACCTAATGTGATTAAAATATATATGACAATTAATGATTTTAAACAATAAAGATTTGATAACAATCTGTATACATTTTCTCATTTTGTTTATTTATTTATTATTAAAATAAATTACACAATTACATTAATCATATAAGAAAAATCTAGATTTTTTTGTGTATGTTGTATTTCGAATTTTTCAAAATGAGTATAAATTACTAAAACTGTTAAAAGTCTCACATAAAATTTTAAGATCAAGGTTTTAATTTTTTTTCTACACTAAAATATAATGATTATAAGACCATATGAAGAAATAATTTTAGTTTTTATATATATTTCATATTTTTTTAATTAAACTATAAATCGTATGAAAATACTTACTTATATTTTGATATTTGTCTTCAACATATATTGAAAAGTTAATAATTTAATTTTGAAATATGTCATTGTTTTTTTTTAAAATGATTATAAATTATTGAAACTACTAAATATCTCACATTAAAAAATATCGTTGGTGTAAAGTTTTGTTACACAAATATGCAAATAATCATAAAATCATATGAGTAGAAACCTCATTTAATAAATAGCAATATTAAAAGTGTGCCATATTACTATGTTTATATCATTTAAATTTAATTATATATCATATCTTATACAATAAAACTGATTTTTCTCCCTTCTCATGCTGCCACATCAACATTTGTGAAGGGGACAAAAAAAACCATGTCAGCAATTACCATAACACCAGTCGAATCTGCATTTTATTATCTTTGCTTCGACTGGACTTTTTTTTAGATATTGTGGATGGGCTTTGTAAACAAAATTGGAAAAGCCCAGTCAAAATTAAAGTTTCCTCTTCGTCAACGAAATTTTCAGAGATCTTTCGCTTCTCCGTAATGTCTAAAGTCTCAACCTTCCATTATTACTTGGTTAACTCCGATCTTCAGCATGATTATCCCACTCCTCCAACTAGAAAGCATTCAATCTTTCGACAAGGGACACCAAAATGGTGATATCCTATATCATGATCTGTGATTTGAAATCTGGTCGTTGCCCTTACTCAGTGGTGACGGTCGTCTCCGTCCGTATGAGGCTCAGAACGTGAAGAAAGGAAGGGATCTCATGGAGATTAACATGCTCCTATTAGGGACAAAGTCCCACATCGGAAGTTGGAAGGGATTCTATCTAGTATATAAGATAGATGGGCCACCACTTATCACCAATTGGTTTTAAGTTGAAAGCCCATAATAAACCTGAATCTAACATGGTATCAGAGCCTAGATCCTAAAAAGCCCTAAACTCCTAATTAATTAATTAACCTTTCTGACCGGGTATATAGGTCGTGTTTAACCTTCCGACTAGGTATAATTGTCGTATTTGACTCGCTCGACCGAGTATAACTGTCTTAAAGTTTCGAGATTTCTGACCGATAAGAGCCATCATCTCGAGGAGGGGTATTAGGGATATATATCCCACATCGGGAATTCAATGGGACCTTAAGTAATATATAAAGGGTTAGGGTCAATCCACTTATTACCAATTGGTTTTAAGTTGGAAGCCCATCTAACTTAATATGGTATCAGAGCCCATGATCCATGCAATCCAACCCGATCCTTATCGATCCAGCCCAAAGTCGGCCCATCGATCCTTGCCCGAACATTCCGAGATTGACGCCAAAGAGCCATCATCTCGAGGGGGCGCATTAGGGACTAAGTCCCACATCGGTTGTTGGAAGGGATCTCTAGCAATATATAAGATAGATGGAGCACTCCATTTATCACCAATTGGTTTTAAGTTGGAAGCCCATCTAACTTAATATGGTATCAGAGCCCATGATCCATGCAATCCAACCCGATCCTTATCGATCCAGCCCAAATTCGGCCCATCGATCCTTGCCCGAACATTCCGAGATTGACGCCAAAGAGCCATCATCTCGAGGGGGCGTATTAGGGACTAAGTCCCACATCGGTTGTTGGAAGGGATCTCTAGCAATATATAAGATAGATGGAGCACTCCATTTATCACCAATTGGTTTTAAGTTGGAAGCCCATCTAACTTAATATGGTATCAGAGCCCACGATCCATGCAATCCAACCCGATCCTTATCGATCTTGTCCAAAGTCGGCCCATCGATCCTTGCCCGAGCATTCCGAGATTGACGCCAAAGAGCCATCATCTCGAGGGGGCGTATTAGGGACAAAGTCCCACATCGGAAGTTGGAAGGGATTCTATCTAGTATATAAGATAGATGGGCCACCACTTATCACCAATTGATTTTAAATTGGAAGCCCATCCAGCTTATAATAGCTCCTACTGGCTAAATAGGTTGTACTTTTCATATTCCATCTCATACATCTCTCAGTATGGATCTGTTGATACTTATATAAGTAGCCGCATTCTTCTCATTTTCGCCTCTTAACAGTCAACGCTCCTCCAAGATTCCATCATGTGCATCAGCTGATCACTTTCACAAATCTACTGAGGGAGTAAGCTATTTACGAGATCAATGGGGTTGATATAACACGAAGAAACCACCAAATAAATATTCCATTTGGTAAATACATGAGCCCAATGTCCGTTGATGAAATTGGGAAGTTTGTGAGAATTACTATTTAATTTTACCATCCAACTTTTTATTCTTTGTTCTTTTTAGCTACACATTAGAAGAAGGTTTGACAAAGTGACTAAAATACACATATATTGCAGGTAAGCAATGTTGTGGTTGGAGTGACAGCATAAAAATAAAAAAACTTATGAATGAATGATACGAAAGATTAAATTGATTTTCAATTCTTGCGTCTGGTTTGTGCATATTACATATTGTGGATGAACACATTTTTTTGGTTTAAAAGTTTGAATATCCTTTACAATGATGTACCCAGTAATTTTCGAATCTAAAGTAACCCAAGATTGTTTGGTTTGGTGCCTGCTTCTAAAGTCATTGCTTGGTATCTTTATGTTAACGACCTTCTTGCTGGTGTGGTGGACTCATGATAAATTCATATGTTTTTGAAATACAACTAATACTCATTTAGGTTCCATCGATAGTTACAGTCAAGTAAATTTCTTATTAATTTTTCTAGGATTTCACATTACATAACGAAATTCATAACCCACTTTGTTCTTGCATATGACAGGTATGCAATCTAGCTTGGTCAAATAACGTAACAAGCTGCTTAGCACACATGGATTCTACCAAAACCAAATCACAGTATAGGAATACCAAACCTACTCCAAAGTAATAATTCTCTCTGACTTTTGTCAAAGTATGTGGTTAACTAAACTTGTCTCTTCTTTGTTGTTGAGAATGCAACTCTGACAGGCCACACATACTGAGGTCTGTACCTTGCAGTATCACCTAACGGACAACAAATGAAATATGAACAGGAGATGAAACCTTAAAGTTCTGGAATGTCTTCCCGTCACTGGAAGCTTCGGTAAAACCGACCAGCGTATCTGCATTAATGAAATGATAAGCAACTTGATCCTTTCATCTCTATACGCAGAACACGGCACTGAAATCAGTGAGAAATATCAAGGCTGGCTGATTTTTAGATCAAAACAACATGCACTGTTTTAGCGGACTCGACATAGCTGATGACATCAGTCACAGCACCAGTGTTCTCATCAGCTCCGCTAGGCGTTCCCACCGTCGATCAGTGAATTAGGGTCCTCGTCTGGGTCGGAAGTTTGGGATGATGTGTTTCAGCGTGTGAATCAGTTGAAAACTTATATATACATACTCCGTGATATGGTAGAGAAACTGGAGCTTCTATTGGGTTTTTGCGGGAGACTAATATAGATCAGAGTTCTTACTAAATATATACAATGGTGTTGTATGTAGCAACAGACCTATGGATCAAATATTTAAGTTATGATTTTAGTGATCGTACCCACCATGTACCCATAAGGGAGCTGACGTTGAAGGCACTGCAACAACAGCAATTGGAAAAGTAACAGTTGTGGGTGCAGAGCACCATTGTGTTGTGAGCAAGTGTTCTTAATGAACAATGTTTTGACGCTTGGGTAAGGATCATGACTATGACCATAATCGGGAAAGGGGCGGAGACAGCGACTATCATTATTGTTATTGCTTTTTTTTTTGGAGAATTTCAATTATACCGCTTTGGTGGTACCACTTTTCATATTTACTATCAAAACAAAGGAACATTTTCAAAAATACACATTTTATTAAAGGATAAAAGACTCTTATATCATTATTCTTTATATACATACATAAAATAAATATTAAATAAAATATTAACCCTAAACCCTCAAACATTAATTCTAAATTCTAGACCCTAAAAAGTAAACCCTAAACCCTAAAAATCAATCCTAGACCCTAAAATATCAATTCTAAACCTTAAAACCTAAACTCTAAACCCTAAAAAGTAAACCTTAAACCCTAAAAAATCAACACTAAACCCTAAACTATCAATCCTAAACCCAAAACCCTAAACCCTAAGTTCTAATAGTATTTTGAGTATTAAAATTTTAGTGGTAAAGTTGGTTAGTGTAAAGTTGAAAAGTGGTATCTTGAAAGTGTTATTTCTGGCAATTTCCCCTTTTTTTTTTGAGCAAATCATTATTGTTATCGCTTTATAAGTTTAATGATGGAGAAATTTATGAATTTTTAGATTTCTTTGTGAAGTGATTTAAAAGTAAAAGCAAAACATTTTATTTTATTAACTAAAAATATATACATCA